CATCCGTTCCCACTCCTCACTTCTCCCCAGACACAAACTCAAATATTTGCTGGAACGGATCTTCATATGAAACATATGGTTTTAGTTGTTATATTTTAGGTATCTGATAATGAATTTATGCTAAATGAGTACGCAATATATAACTCTATTTGTGTAAGTATGAGTGAGCATGTGTGTGTTGAGGTTTTTGTGTGCGTATTGAAGTGGGTGTGAGGGTGTTTTTGTGGATTACTGACTGGTATGACGATTTGGTTTACCTGATATTTATGCCAGTATTTGTTATGAAACATCTGTTTGTGAATAGATTTTCCTGTGAATGTTCCAATATATTTATGTATTGATATAAATTGTGTTTGGTTGTATACTAACTTGGATTTATATATTTATAATTTGGAAGCTAAAATGAAAATAGCACAGTAAAAGGGCTATATATGTCATTTATTTGCTTTTGCAGTTTCTGGAGAGGGATATTATAAAATATCCTACTAAACTATACCTAAAGATTACGAACATGTATAAAGTTATAGATACATTTCAAAACCGAGTAAAAAATATAGATTCAATATTTAGGTAAGCTCCTATTAATTAAGATCTCCAGATTAGAGGACTAGTCGATTTAAAAAGTAACTGAAAACCCACAAAAGTAAGTAAGAAAATCTTAAATATTGTTTTGAAATTCAACCCTTAATTTTTTTTATTAAAAATACAAATGTTTGTAATCAGTGGTTGTGCTATAGTTTTAGTCATGTGTGTTCTATGTACGTTCCGTAGACAAAAGTAATGTCATGGGAACAGTAACCGCACGTTCTGTATTCGTTTATGATTATATTTATGGTATCGGATGCTGTTGACGGATTAGTGTTGTCTGTTGTGTAAACATAAATTTCCAGTTCTAAGCACGAGTTAAGGTATAATCCCCATCGAAAATAGAATAAAAATAAAGGCAAACAAAATATATTCACGCGTTTACCAATAATACATTTGTAGCAATAAATAAAATCAAATACAGGTATTTATTACATTTAAATTGTTTAACTAATCCCGTGCTTTTGCAATAATTTCTATGATTATATTTTGTCAACAAAATTAATCTAATTGTTTTAGATTTTTTTTTTTAATTCCCTGACGTATCTAGGACCATATAAGCAGATAAAAGTAAAATTGTTATACCCTACAAAACTATGTGTTGGGGGTATTATAAGTTTAATTGGGCCAACAATTATGTAACACCTCGAAATATTGGCCTCGAAATCTCGACGAGCTGAGCGGATCTAGCTATGTATGTCCATGTTAACATGCTACAGGTCCCAATTATAGTCTCAATTATTGTCCGATTCTCATGAAGGTGGGGTTATTATAGCATGAGATTGTTTCATATTTGACTTACAATATTGATTTGTACATTTTTTAATATTTTTTACACTCTACAACAGGTTGTGTTGAGGAAATTTTTCATGGAGGTTTTAGAAGCTTATGTATGTATTGTATGTATATTTGGGTTCAAATGCACCCAAGAATTAACAGTTTCCTGATTTTGCGGTCGCTCTACGGGTCACAATTAAAAACCAATGGACACAGAATTTTGCATATATATATTTTTAGCGGGTAAATTGAAATTATTTTGAATATCAATCAGCGCTACAAAAAGGGGTTAATATAGGGCAAATGTCCCGGTCAAAAACCAAAGGTAAGATTTTTGCAGGACTGTATGACATTATTTCAAAAAATCGAATAAAATGTGTTTGGACCTAAGGAGGTTTTCCAATATATTGTAGTGTTGTAGAGTATCAAATAGTCGGCCCCGCACGACTATAGCCGTTGCTTACTTGTTTGTAATTAATTCTTGGCACAAAATAATCCATCAGGGTTTTTGTAACATTGTTGGTTTAAAACGTATTACAAACCACATCTTGCATAAAAAAACTATAACACAAAAATATTTATTTATAAATCAGAATAAATCATTTCAGAAATAATAATTTAGAACAAATCGAAAGATAAACATCCGTGTTGTGTTAAAATTGATACAGCAGAGTTTGGAGTATTTAAAGTTGAAGGTAAAAGTCGAAGCTTATTGATTATTATTGTCGGCACATTTCAAAGGTGGAGCGTGTACTAAAAGGTATCAATACGAGTGCAACAATTTAGGATATTTACTGTAGAACATCTGTTATATTGAAGTAGAATGTTTGTAGTACACCTGTTATAGAAATAGAGCCAGAAATCCTAAAATGGATTTCCATTTTCAACAACATTTTCTGGACTTTGGCAGTCGAATATAAATTCGGCTAACAAAAATTTTGCTATATTGGTTTACATTTTGAACAAAGTTCCTTTTACAAATCGAAGTGGCTGCAATTTAGATTTACCTCAATTCATTCGGAAGACATACAGACACGCCGGCAGACGAACATCGCTAAATCGACTAAGAATTTTACGCTGATCAATATATATATATATATATATATATATATATATATATATATATATATATATATATATATGTTCGTCTGCCGGCGTGTCTGTCTGTATGTATATATATATATATATATATATATATATATATATATATATATATATATATATATATATATATATATATATATATATATATATATATATATATATATATATAAACTTTGTTGGATTTGACATGAGTATTTAGAGAAGTTACAAAGTTAATATACCCTCTATAGTATGGTGGAGCGTATAAAAATGCAGCTTAATGCCCGTAAATTCAGAATATCGATTGGTACCACGTTATACGAAAACGTCGACCAACCTAGCCCATTTACGAACTTATCCTGACAAAATTGTGGCCATTTTTCCCAATTAGTTCGAAAGATAGCGAGACTACAAGAGACAGTCGGACATCAACTTAGAATTTTAAGTTGATACCTCATCACCAATTTCAACAGGTCTCGTACGTGGATCAAACAAATGAGCACTTCAAAGTTTGGTCCCAATCGGATTGAATTGGCCGCCTTAATCGTGATATTTAAAAAGAGGAAATTTGACACTGCATTACTAAAATACCGTTGCAGTTATGCACAACGGAAAATAGAAATTTCAATAAAAGGTCGCATGTGTACCAGTGTGGTCATCTGCACAATATCTTGTAGGGTTGCCCATATTCGACGGACCCATCTGGCAACGCCTTAACTTTTGACAGAGATGTCATATCGCTTAATGACATACCGCGTTTGAAGCGTCAGTCCAAGCAGATTTTTACCATGAACCATTACACGCCACGCTAGCGCTCTGAAACAGTTGAAATTAACATTCAACATAAGAAATCAATTCTAAAAAAAATGTAAGAAGTGCGCCTTCTAAGAACACCATTAAGCGTTTATACAAAAAATTTTCGACTGGTAAGGCTCTTTCTAATCCGAAGAGGCCATATAAAAGTCAACCAAGGCGATCGGCCGAGAATATCGCTGCCGTTCGAGCCAGTGTTGAGAGGTCCCCAAGAACATCCCAAAAACGCCGTTCTTAGCAGTTGGGCATAGCTCGGTCCACTTTACAACGGACTATTCGCATTGATTTGCATTTGTTCCCGTACAAAATTCAATTGACGCAAAGAATGTTGCCTGCGGACAAGCCTCGTCGATTGGAATGGGCCCAAAGAGTCATCATGGGTCCGTCGAATATGGGCAACCCTGTATACCTTCCACTTTGGAATGGAGGGTATATTAACTTTGTCATTCCGTTTGTTGTAACTAACTATTCGTCGTAGACCCCATAAAGTATTTATATATATTCATAATCAGCATAAAATTCTAAGTGGATTTAACGATTTTCATGTGTCTGTTGAAATCACGATACTTATTACATTGTTTGACATAGAGCTTCATTTTTCAAAACCATTTCTTATTTTTTCTAGGATGGTTGGTATTGAAAATGATATATCGGTCCACGTCTTGGTATAGTCTCCATATAACGGTGCATCTCAACATTTTGATGATTTATGCCACAACACCCACATAACGGTACCTCTCGATATTCGGTATTTTGATGGTGTTCGACCTAGCCGAACTTAATGTTTATTTACTTGGCATTTTGATGGTTTTTGCCACATTCTTCACGGATTTGTCTAAAAAATGGTATTTGTTGGTCATAAAAAAATGTATGTCTAGGTTCACGTTTTAGTATAGCTCCAATATAACGGTACCTCCCGATGTTCGGTATTTTGGTGATTTTTTCACATTCACATTTAAATTGGTATGTGTGGGTCATAATGGCTTCTAGCATTGTATGTATAGGTCCAAATTTCGGTATAGCCCCATATAACGGTACCTCGCGATATTCGATATTTTGATGATTTTTACCACATTTTCCATGGATTTTCCTAAAAATTTATATTGTAGTTCATAATGGGTTCTAACCCGATGGCGGAACATTTAATATTTAGTTCCACGTTTTCCTATAGCGCACATATAACGATACCGACCGATATTCGGCATTTTGATAATCCTAGTCACATTTACCCACATAATTTCTTCAAATTTGATATTTTAGAAGATTTGATAGGTGACAATCTTTGAAATATAAAAATGAGGTTCCCGTTTTGGTATGACCCCATATAACGGCCTTTATGTTTTTTTTTTTTTTGATAAGTTTAACTGCATTACCCAAATGGTCTTACTTCATATGAAGTTTAAAGTGAAACATGCTTGAATTCAGGTACTTGTATATAAAAAAGTTTCCTTTACATTAAGGTGGATTGTATTAAAAGTTCGGCCTAGCGAAACTTATTTTTTTTACTTGTTCCATATATAACCCCATTCTGTCTACTTTACGATATAATTAATTTCACGATTTTGTTTAAAGAAAATAAAATAACAGGCGACGTTCCTATGTATAATTTATAATTGTCATAGGAATAACGTTTAAAAAAAAAAACTCGTGGAGATAATTTTGTTTTGGAGATGGCCCGTCTCCATATTTGTACTTACTCATGAGTTCTCAAATGCATACGCAGTTGTAAAAGCATATGTTAATTTTGTTTATATAATTATTTCTTTATTTCATCTTTTCTCTTTAATTAAACTATATATCTTATGCCTACATGGTTTGTTGTTGTTCTTTAAATATAATCTTGATCTTATAATCTTACAATGATTCACTAAAATGTATATATATTTTATATATATTAATCTTTTATTTATATATTTATTTGCATTTGTATATATTTATATATCTATATGGTTATAAGTTAGACTAACTAATTTACAATACTGTAAATAATGATGTAAATTGTTTTTTATTTTATTTATTTATTTATTTTTTTTGAACATATACAAATAAATAGTCGTATAAAGAAATCTAGAAAAATAAAAGGTAGAAATTAAAATAGGCAATATGTATTGAAATAACAACAACTACATACATAAATACAAATATTTATAGATAATTGCACAAGAGCAAAAGTTTGTAACTTTTGCAATGATTTAAATGTTGAAACTTAGAATAATTGTGTGTGTGTTCCAGACCTTTCAGCCCTTGTGTTGAGTTTTTTGTTAGTTTTGCAAATTTTTGCCTTTCAATATGTTTCGTTTAATTGCAGTTTTCCATTATCCATCAACATTATTATCGATTTTTTTGCCTACATTTCCTCATTAAATATGCATTGCGCGTAGATTTTGTAATGGACAAGATGGGCTGACATACAAAGCCAGACAAACTGACTGACCGGCCGGCTGACTTACTGACCAAACGATATGTTTTTACAGCAGTCCTCAAATTTCATAGTTAATTGAAATGCTAAGCGTTTATTACAAACTTATTTTAATTGGAAAATATTTTACATATACATTTAAGGATTAAATAGATTTTCCCTATAAATATGTATGTATGTAGTGTTTCTATGCATATGTATATATATTCGTATATATGTTTTTATATGCATATATCAAATGTTTGCTTATAAATGTATAAACACACACGCATTAGTTTTTACTAAACTTAATACTCTTAAATGTAAAACATATTTACCTTCTAGGCATTTTACTCGATATATACAAAATATTTGTTTTTTTATATTTAACATAAAATTTATATGCATTTAAGTATATATAAATTTAACAAAAAACAAACGAAAATATTGTTTATACAAATTACGTTTATTTTACTAATAATGGATTAATAACATTGTAAGCTTAAGCCTGCTATTATTATTTAATGTAACATATACTTTTTTTATTTTATCTTAAAATTACCTCTACTGTTGCTCACAATTTATTTAAAATGTATGTTTTTTTGTTAAGTTTTTTTTTTTTTTTTTTTTTTTTGGATTTTATTTATTCTTCAAACTGAAACTTAAATATATTTATAATTATTTAATTACTTTCGTTTTTTGTTTTGTCCAAGTTTTATTTTTTTTTTTTGATTAATGTACAACACACGTATTAACGACAATGTACAAAAATTTGTTGCTGATGCTTCTCGTGGTAAAAAGTTAATATTTACATATTTTATTGTTGTAAATTAAGTTTTTCTCTACATAAAAACAATTAAGGTAAATTAATATAACTTAATATAGATGTTGAATAATTTTCACTTGGTTGTTGTTTTTAAGTTGAATAGAAAGTAATACTTTTGGTAGAGGTTGAATATTTTAATAAATTGTTGTTTTTTGTTATGTTTACCTAAATGAGATATTAATTAGCTTTAACGCTTTTCAATGCAATTAATGAAAACATATGTTCGTATTAACCCATTGCAAGGACGAGAATCGCATGAGGTACGTAATGGTTTTAAAAAGTTAGGGGAAGTGATTATAAAAAAATATGTGTTTCGGTACGGAAAATGGCGCGTGGTCAAAACATTCGACCCCATTAGATATTTACTGTGTAGCGAGTAGATACGTCCCTATTATCCATATTTCTGCATTGTTTTCTTTTTATTTCGAAGTTCATCTAAAAGTACCTACTCTCGGGAAATACAGGGTGAGATAAAAAACTGCAACCAACTTCAGAGTGCTGTCATTTCTAAGCCACTCGTCCGACAGCTGTTACAATTGTTCCAGTGACAGCTAATTATAGTCTTTACAAGCGTACAAAATGTTTTTGGTGAGAGTTTTCCAGAAAAAAGTTATTCGTGATGGAATTCAAGCGTGATAGTGTGATTTCTTTACATTTGGCTGGAAACCACAAGTGGCTATTGTTAGAGCACTCCAGCATTTGAATGTGAATAAATCTTTTGTGTCTCGTAACAGCCCGATGTAAAGGAAGTGGAGGGAAGAGAACAGCAACATCAGCAGTAATGGTTCGAAATGTAAAGAAGAGACTTGATCGAAACCCAAGTCGCAGTGGCCGAAAAATGACTCATGAGTTGAACATATCGCAATATTCCATGCGGCAAATACTGAAAAATTAGTTCGGGGTAAAGCCATTGAAATTCAAAAAAAAAAAAAAAAAAAGCAAGAGCTTACATCGCAAACAAAATGAGCGTGTTTACTTGCCAAATAGGTCAGCAGAAAATGTGCACCTTCCGTTGGCCACCAGAACTCAAGCTCCTGTCAAGGTGATGGTGTGGTCGCTCTCCGCTCATATTAATCAAATAAATGCCGAATATTATCGCGAAAATATTCTGGAAGAAAGGAAGGCCTTGGGCACGCGAATATTTTGGCCGCAGACCTCGGACATTCCAACAATGAGTTTCCTCGCTTCATTTCAAGCGCACAATGGCCACCAAAATCTCCGAATACCACCAAAATACCAATCCGTTGGACTATTGTGTCTGGAGTATTTTGAAAAGCAAGGTTGTTACTAAAAAATACCAAAGTGTCGATCACCTCAAGCAAGCGCAACATTCGGCCAGCCTGTGTCGGTTTCATTGGCTTCATATATATATATATATATATAGAAATTCCACTGTGTTCAGATGGCATTTGGACATTTTCACAATTTTTCATTTTTTTTTTGTGCTAATATCATCATTTTCTTTGTCAGCTTGCAATGGGTAAATAATGGACATTCTAATTTTCACCTAAAATTAATTATGTTTTTAATTAACACAACATAATTATGGTCAACAAATTTTGGTCTAATATTTTAATATAAATTTATTTATAAAAGGTGTTGCTGAGTACACAATAATTATAAATGGGATTCCTGTAACATAGGTTTGGTGGTAAAATAATAAGGTTCCTGTTTATATAAAAACCAAAAAAAGAGAGAAAAAAAAATTAAATTAATTGAAATAATCTCTAAATAATTTCAAAAGAAAAAAAAAACTAAAACAAAATGCAGCTACAACCAAGGCAATATTTAAATATATTAAATGTTAAACACGAACATTTTTTGTTCTCGTAAATGAGCTATTTTGTTGTTATGCATAGTTTTATAATGACATCAACACACATAAACACGCACATATTGTTAATTATATTATATACACAAATATATGTGTATGCAAATAATTTTTCGTATGTATGTATGTGTGAACATACACTTTTTTATTTAAAAACTTTATTATTAAAATCGATATACAGAGCAAGGTATGGGAGAGGATATGTTTATTTGTATTCGTATATGATTGAGTAAGTGTTTGCGTCAGTTTGTTACCAGATATCAGAAAATTTTAAATTAAATGTCAATAAAATTAATAATAAGCAGACATGTAAAGCAATGTAAATGACATAAATTAACAAAAAAAAATGTAAGGAAATTTCAAGAAATATATAAAGTAATATTAAAGTGTTTGAATTTGAAGAAACTAAAGATACTGCTGTAAAATGGAGAAATTTTCTCGATATAGTCGCATGAGAACATTTTCAGGGTCTATTGAGAAAAGAAATTATTTTTACTTTTGTCAGTTATGTAGAGAAGCCTTATATATCGGTATAACGAAACATAACGGAGAACTTTGAGGGAAATCGCGCTCAAAATGTTTGGGACTCTTTCTGAACATCTCTACAAACCATATAGTCAAATTATTCTCTATAGAAGGACAATGTTGGTCTCTTCTATCGGAAATATGTTGAGAATTTACTCAGACAGTTTCGTATGTCATATTTCGTGGACAAATTTTTCCTACAAAATGAAACACACAAGAACTAAGAACAGATGTTATTACTTTTATTTAAATAAATTACCCTTTCATCCTGAGAACATGTTTAAGAAAAAACAAGTTAAAAAGCAGTAAGTTCGGCCGGGCGGAACTTTTAATACCCTCCACCATTTGCAACGAATTTGGAAATTTTTAAAAAATAAAATCCTTAAAAATTCTTTTAAAATTTTAAAAATACCGAATATAGCCGTTATAGGGGTCTATAGGACGTGGACATACATAGGCATTGTTTGTCATAAACCATTACCATATTCAAATTCGAAACTTGAAATAACCAGTGAATAATGTAGCTAAAAGCATCAAAATACCGTATATAAGGAGGTGCCGTTATATCGGAGCTGTGCGAACACCTGGACCAGCATAGACAATTTTTTGTAACAGGCTGTAGCATCCATTACGAACTTCAAATACCACATCTCAAACAATTTCGGTGGGTATTGTACCTAAAATCGTCAAAATACCGAATATAGGGAGGTACTGATATATGGGGCCTATACGAAGACCTGGACCCGCACAGACAATTTTCTGTCACAGACTGTAGTTCCCATAACGAACTTCAAATACCAAATTTGAAACAATTCCCGTGAATAATGTCGCTAAAAACATCAAAATACCGAATATAGGGAGGTACCGTTATATGGGGGCTATATGAAGACGTGGACCTGCACAGAAAAATTTCTGTCTTAGGGTGTAGTATCCATTTTGAACTTCAAATACCAAATTTGAAACAATTCCCGTGAATTATGTCGCTAAAATCATCAAAATACCGAATATATGGAGGTACCGTTATATGGGGGCTATACGAAGACGTGGACCTGCACAGAAAATTTTCCGTCTTATGTTGTAGTATCCATTTTGAACTTCAAATGCCAAATTTGAAACAATTCCCGTGAATAATGTCGCTAAAATCATCAAATAGGGAGGTACCGTTATATGGGGGCTATATGAAAACGTGGACCTACATGGCCCATTTACGAACTTATCCTGCCTACTGGAAAAATAAACATGTGTGAAAAATTTTAGCCATCTATCTCAATTCATTCGAAAGATAGCGTGAATATAACAGACAGACAGACAGACAGACGGACATCGCTAAATCGACTTTGAATTTTACGCTGATCAAGAATATATATACTTTGTTGGGTCTGATATGAGTATTTCGAGGAGTTACAATCGGAATGACAAAGTTAATATACCCTCCATAGTATGGTGGAGGGTATAAAAATTACACAATAGATAATTCGTTTCTGATTTAAGGAGAATACTGAAATAATCCATTAATGATTATAAATTGAACCGATAGCAATGAATTGGCATGTGCGTCATCGAAATAAAGGGTTTAGACTTTATGTCAGCTTTAGTTTATAAAGAGTTATAGGAAATTGTGAGTCTGCCTGTCTTGTCATGCTATTGGGCACGACTACTCTTGAAACCAGCGTAAGGCTGAGAGTCTTACGGTTTCATATGTATAATGAGAGAGAGATAGAGAGAGAGAGAGAAAGAGAGAGCACTCTTGCCTAAACCAGACTGTAACCCAAAAGAAGCTTCAAGTTGGGTAATATCGGTTCATATTCCCCTTTATCTGATCCCATAGATGGTGAAACTTTCCAAACAAAATCATACGTAATTAACCCCTTAAGAATTGTGCGACTTAAATTGTAATACAAAATCTGGATAATTTATTTTACAATAACTTATCCATAGTTAAAATTTTGGTTAGAAGTTGTTTGTCTTTGACAATAGCCACATACAATGATTGTTTGTGGTACTTTGGCACAGATTCACAAAAAGTACGACTCTAACCCCAAAAAGTCATATATAATTTGATGCTGCCAAAATGTTCCTAATCTCCGTTGTAAGACTTCTGTATTCGATCTAGTCATATCTGTCTCGAAGGAGTATTCAATTAGGCCCAACCTGGATACATTTCAATATTGATAAAAAAATTAATAAAAAATCATCTTAAGAAAAAAGAGTGCACTATATAGTTCAAAATTATCAATTCGTGATACTTAATTAAGAATCAGATCTGATGAGAAAATACAGAATATTTGCCCAGTACTTCTAGTACCTCCCACGTTTCTCTTGAAATCTTCCATTAAATCATAAATTATTTAATCATAGAAAAGTTATAGTACAAATTTGGTTCACAGTACTATTAATATCCGACAGAACAAATATGGACAAAAGTGACCCACTTCTTTTCGTATTTGTCACTCAATTCCCATCTGGACAACATAAGATCTGGCGTAAAGATGATATTTGTCTGTAAACTGGATCTGATACCTCTTTCGCATAAAATGAGAAATTATACCCCACATCTCTTCAATGTTTGCAAGTTGTAATATTTCTACTGAATAAAAATGGGAATGTGGGGTACAACACCGTCTGAAGCTTTCCGACTTATGTTCATACAAAATATTGGTCTTCTCTTGAGGACATACGATATAGAAATAGAAAACTACGTGAACAATTTCATCAAACCTTAAGGCAACCATTTGTAAAAAAGTTCCGTAGAGGGACGAACTTTTCCTTGAAAAAATCGTAAAACAGCTGTCCTGAATATGAGGCAAACACAATGCAATAATATACAGTGATTGGATGAGGAATAAACTATATTTGGGTAGTAGATATGTATTCGTAAAATGATATATGGTAGAGTTTATACCGTATGTAAATTATTATGACATATATGTGCGTGAGTATGTTCTGACAATAATTTAGAACAGAGATTTTCTTGTAAATGAATAAATTATTTTACTTTTAACTCAGAAAAAAATAAGGAAAAAAAATATATTTTTTAAATTTCCCTATAACTCCTTCTTATGAATATTTCGATTGCGTTTTTCTTTTCTTACTATTATTATTTTTCTATAAAAAGTCTTTTGGAATTTGTTAATTTCAGCCTAACACCTTTTGCTTAAGAACTAATCAAAGTATTTACCTCAACAGACTATTCGATCACTTCTTTTTTGAACTTGAAATTTAAAAGCAATAACAAGTTTGATACTCATACACATTTCAACAGCGTTAGGAGGGGTGAGCTGAAGCCATCACAACTTAAAATGTTAAATCAAGAACGATGTTTTAATATAATAAAGTCGTCACAGAATTGACCCTCCCCTCCTCAAATTTACATATAAAGAGCAGCAACAATAGAAAGTTCAACATTATATACAAATAAATAGAGAAAATTATTAGAAATTTATATACCAGATATACATATAACATTTACATACATAAACATTTACAGTAGCTGTACACACATACAAGTAAATAAACAAACATCAAATTATAGTTGTGTTAGACAATTATGGCCTTTAAGTTGGTTTTCGTTCTTCCACTTTATTTTATTTATTTAGTTTGTTTTGTTTCGTTTTTTTTTTCTTGTTTTGGTAGGTTGTTTGTTCTGGTTTAGTTGGTTAGACGGCAGTCAGGCAGGAAGGTTGTTTGTTGGTTGACAAGCGCAGCACCTTCGATTAGATGATTATACATTTAATGTACTACATACATGTGTGCGTAGAAATGTGTTCTTATTTATATACAACTTTCCTGGATGCGATTTGAGGTGGTAACCACTTCCGGTCGAAACCGGTATTCACTGATGGATGATGTTACCGATGGATTATTTGGACTTAGCAGACTTACTTCCATTGGCTGAGTGGTGGGATGATAGGATGATAGCGATGATGATGTTGTAGTTGTACTACTAAAGGGCAGACCCACACCCAATGGTGGACTGCATGTGGTAATACCTTTTTTGTTGAGTGTGGCATAACTCTGGGGAGAGAGAAAGAGAGAAAATCATGATATAGAACAATGTGATGTATGCATAGAAAAGCAATAGTAATAGCAGCAGTGGCATAAGAACGAAGAAATTATAAAACAAAGCCAGCAGCAACAGCAAATGACAATAGTCATGGTGATGCTTGATGATGCCATTGACCATTTTGTTTTGTGTAAAAGTAGAAAAAGAATCACATACATTTCTATATAAATATATATGTATATAAAAAGTTGTATTCCATTTTCTTTTTAAATAATATGTTCTGGTTTAAATGTATTAAGGGCATTTTAATCATGACTATAGTTCCATATTTTCCTTTTCTAACAAAGAATGTGTGTATGTATATGAAAAGGTATTTTCATGTGTTTGTGGCCTGTCCTATTTCAGGTTGTTGTTGTTATTTTTTATTTTTTTGTAGTTTTTTCTCTTTGGCCAAAGAACTAGAACTCAAAACTCACAGTAGAAAAAATGAAATAAGTTTCTGTTTTAATTCCCTGAAGCTATTATGTGTCACATAAAAATGTGACCATGAGTTTTGTGATTTTTCTCTGTTTCTTTATTCTGGCAGAATCATCATTGTTATATTGCTGTTTATTTAGTTTTCTGTATTTCTTTTTAAAGGAAAGGAAAGTGAAAAAATTGAATTGAAGAAATATTTTATAAGAATATCTGGATTATATTTAAAATTATGTATATCTCTTTTACAAGACTAGCAAGGGAAAGGCAATATCTAAAAAGCAAATTAAAGGAATGACCTTTCCAGGAAAGCAATTATCAATAACACATTAAAATGTAGTGTAAGTAAACTAGATTCTGCCTTGCTGATAGGTTAAAAATAATAGGTATTTTCTAAAAAAAAATAACAAAGCCAAATAACTTACTTTCTCATAACCAAGTAATGGGTGACTTTGGCACAGAGTATGTGCAACTCACTACAAAACCGAAGGTTGTGAGTGAGAGGAAAATATAATTAAATACGATGACTATTTTATGGAGATGTAAGACTTGAAAAAAACTCTTAATATTCGTTGATAGAAAAGCATTTGTTTTATTTGCCAAGTGAATATTTCCTCACAATTACTTTGTTCGTACTCTTAAACTCGCATTTTATTGATGAGCAGTGCGTTCATTTGGGTCACGAACGCACTGCTCATCAATAAAATGCGAGTTTAAGAGTACGAACAAAGTAATTGTGAGGAAATATTCACTTGGCAAATAAAACAAATGCTTTTCTATTTATTTGTATATTTTTAGGGGCCAGAGATTAAACACATACAGGGTGAAATAAAAAAAAATTGAAACCAAAGTCAGACTGTTGTATTTCTAAGCCACTCGTCCGAGAACTGTTAGAGTTATTCCAGTGACAGCAAGAACTTATCCCGCAACAGAAAGAAAATAGACTCAAAAGAGTTAAAGAGTTGCTTCGCTTGGCCGAAAGAGGTGAACTGCCGGATTTGGGTTTCTCCGATGAGAAAACATTCGTTGTCCAGCAGTTTGTAAACAAACAAAATTATCGTGTTTACTTGCCAAAGAGGTCAGCCGAAAATGTGAACCTTCGGTTGGCCTCCAGGACTTAAGCGCTGGCATAACAGCCGATGGTCGCTCTCCGCTTGTACTAACCGTCCGTGTCACGCAAACATTTTGATCGCAAACCTTGGACACTCCAACAGGACTCAGCACCATCGCACTCAGCACGCGCCACCCAAGAATGGTTACAGAATGAGATTCTTCGCTCCATTTTCAGTGCCCAATGTTCACCAAAATCTCCGGATACCAATCCGTTGGACTATTGTGTATGGAGGCACTAAGGTCGATCACCTCAAGCAAGCGCTTCCCGGGAACGGGCCAAAATACCGCAGAGGAATATTCGGGCAGCGTGTGACGGCTTCATTTGCCATTTGGAGGCCATAATTCGTGCCAAAGGTGACCAATTCGAACAAGTCTAAACTTATTCTAAAATGTGTTGTTAATTCCGACTTTATAGCTTTCATTCAATAACATTTAAAAAAAATATGGCTTTTAACTTTGTTGCAGTTTTTTTTTATCTCACCCTGTATGTCGTTTACAAGACTAGATACGGAAAGGCAATATCTAAAAAACGCACTAAAGGAAATACCTTTCCAGGAAAGCAATAAATACATACTTCAGACGACATAAATCCTGTAAAAATAATGGATTGGCTAGAAAAATTTGTAAGCAGTTTCGATTGCCAAAAATTGATTAAAAAATCCGTTATTTGGTAACGGACATTTGTTGGTTTGCGTTTAAATTTTTGTCATTTAGTGCGAAAATCTGTAAACATTTGTTTCGATTTTTTCATTTTTGATGAACAATTTTTATTTCCTTAAAAACTAATTTAATATTCATATTGTTAGTCTCCAAATATAATTTTCGTTGAATTATTTTAAATTGTTTTTCTTCTCTTAATACCTCCTATAAAATATTCCATTTCATTTCTTGTGCGTTTCGTTTGTTTTCATCATTTCCTATTGAACTTCCGTAGAAAGTTATATATAACTCCATGAATGCTGCCTATAATTATACCCTCGTCATAGCTCATTTATTTATTTTTTTTATTGCCAATTAATTTTTTTTTCAATTTTCTTGTTGTTGTTCTTGTTTTTGTCATACTTACAATTTGTTTGCTCGGCCTAAATGTGTAGTGCAGCACCTCATTGCCAATGCCAAGGCTGCCATTATTACTTTTTAATGAACCTAAACTGGATACACCATCGGCGCTACTTAATGCCGAACCATTCGTAATGCCAATCACACTCCCACTACCGCCAAGGGTGGCCGTGCCATCTGTGGCATCTGGCGTGCAATAATCACGTTGCAGCAATCTCGCTGATGGGCTACGGAATATAGGTGAAGCCATCATTGACTTCAGTGGACGTTTTTCTATAATTTTCCAAACGGAAAATAAAATGAAAAGAAAGAGAAAACGTGAAAGAAAGAAAAAAAAATATTTAACAAAGATAAGAACAAAGTACAACAATATTAATTAACAGCTTGTTATATAGTTTGCAGGCAGCGCATTGTGGATGGACACACAAAACACAACTAAAATGTAATAATAATTGTGAAAACACAGTTTTAGCAAAGTTTTTAATTATACACTCGCAATGACGGAGGTATAGGATAACAAAGGACCACCCCCCCTTCTCCCGCACAAGTTATAGAAATAATATTTAATTATTAATTTAATATAATGGCATAACTAGTTGCAAAGTGATATTAAGAGAGACGTTTATTTGAAAAAGGAAACACGGAAATAAGTTCCCAGAGTGAAGGAGTATTTGTTGGAAAAAAATTTAATTTAATATTAATTTTTAATTTCGGTTAAAAATTCTAAATATACCAATGGCCGAGTGGGCACGTAGTTGAGAAAAAAATGTACCCTTGGACAAATTGCTTGCTTTCGATTTTTTTTTGTACTTCCCAATCCATCTCTAGTTTAAAAGGAAAACAATAATCTGGTTTAAAATTGTAAAACGTGGCCCAAAGCTACATAACAAAAATAATAACTTTTAGGAATGCTATAAACTATAGCTTATAATGACATTTGATTTGGAATATTTTTCTTTTGACATTGTCCACCATAATATGTTGTATATATAGCTTTTATATTTTTTGACGACTTTAGTTATAACGTTATGCAGAATATTTTTATCTTTGGTGTTTTCCCTCTAAAATTATGGTTTATGGAATTATTAGTTTTTTCAAAATATTTCGATGGGTTTTTCGGAAGTTATCCCAATATGTGGATTCCATTGAGTCTTAACTCGAAAATTTCTAAAAAAAATTGGCTGAACCTGTTTTTGGTTACTTTCCGATGCAATCTGTCAAAACGTCAGTATACCTGTCTCATATTTGTATACCCTCCACCATAACATTAAGGGTATATTACGTTTGTTATTCCGTTGGTTATAATCATGCTATCTTCCGAAGGAATTGAGATGGAGTACTAACTTTGGTATACATGCGCTTTGGGTCTAAACTTAGGTCAACTTCGAAGATGAAATGTATCGGCCAACTCTGCTCTTATAACGGCACTCCCCTATTTTAAAGATTTTTTGCACATTTTTTCCACGGAATTTTCTGGTCTCTTGCAGAGACCATATAACTGTTCCTCCAGGAAATCGGCATTTTAATGATTTTAGCTAATTTTTTAACAGATTTATCTCAGAACTCGTAATAGGCACTACCTTATCTGGTAGGAAATTGGTTGGATCTACACGGTTTAGTACAGGCCCCATATAACTGTATTTACAGATATTCGGTATTTGATGATTTTTTTGACATTTTCACCAACATTTTTTCAAATTTGGTATTTGGAGTTTGTAATGGGTACTAACTCATATGACAGAAAATTGTCCATACAAATTCACGTCTTCGTGTAACCCCCATATAACGGTACCTCCCAATATTCGGAATTTTGATGATTTTAGCTATATTTTTCAGCAGATAATTATTTGTAAAGGTCCACGTTTTCGTGTAGCCCCACGTTACATATTTTTAATACATTTTAAAAGTTGCTTTCAAATGGTGGATGGTATTAAAAGTATGGTCCAGCCGAACATAGCTACTTTTTGACTTTTTAGCTCTACTTTCAAAGTCTTTTCGGGTGTTCGTGTAATTTTGGGAAAACTTTACGTTGTAATAGAAAACAAAAAATCTTAAAAAGATTAATCGTTGCATACTTTTAGGCTTGCATAAATTTTTAAAATGTACTAAAATATATAATAGCAAAATTGATTTCGACTTTTATCGGGTTTCAACTTGAGATTTTTCACTGCCAAAAATGTACTATTCGAAAGGCGAATTAAATAATGAAGAATATTGGATTTTTTTATATGCTAATACATAGTAGATCTGAGCCACAAACAGTATATATCATTTCATACGGCCAACGTGAAATAACCAATTTTTGGTTTAATTGAATGAAAGCCTTTTCAGGCCATTTGGTTTAAATTTAGCCAAGTCACTTTATCCAGCCAGTAGAAAAGTAATATATATATATATATATATATATATATATATATATATATATATATATATATATATATATATATGAAAAAAATAAAATTCGGTCAACTTCTTTTGGTGCCACCGATGCAGTCTGAACCTCATATATCGTAGTAATTGCCCGCACCTCTTCTTACCTCCCATTATGGATAATAAATTATAAAATTTGATATTTTGTGGCTCATTTTATATTTAATAAATAAATACTACCAATATATACCCAAGAAAAATCAACGTTAAAAAATACTGAGTGTATATGTCTGTCGGAACATCCGTTGAACCTTCATAACTTGTTTCATTCACTTGGAGCCATGAATGTCACTTTATACAAAATCAGCTTAAATTGGAAAATATTGAAAATTGGATGCATTTAGGTTACATGCTTTTTTATTTGAATTAACATTGGCGTTGATTTCGTATTATGTTCACCTTCTTCTCCTATTTTCAATACTTCTTTTCCTTCAAACCTCTGCAATAACAACGCTCATTTTGCAACAATAATAAAACGACGGAAAAAACATGATTCTAATTTAACGATAATTGTCCAATTGCCGTTAATACAAAGCTTCTTTACTAATACGGCTAATGGCTGGCTACTTTAATACTTACCATATTGATTTGGTATAACATCTGGATCTGTGTCATCGCCTTCGGGCGGATCGCCCATCATTTGCGGTGACTGCCGATGATGATGATGGTGATGGGTAGTTGACCTTAATGCCGATGAATCCATAATGCCACCTAAAACACCTCCGCCTCCTCCACCACCCATACTCAGAGCTGATGGCGATGAAGCACCGCCGCCGCCACCAACACCACCTCCTATGCTGCCGCCACCACCGCCTCCGCTGCCGACAACAGCTTGAAGTTTGCCATCGCCATTCGATTGCAATAGACTGTGATGGGCCTGATGATTGTTCTGTTCGTAATGATTATGATGATGATTCGGCTGTAACGGATCCAGTTGACAATCGGCGGGTATTGATAGTTGTGTGTGTTTTGTGGGTTTTAAATTGTTGTCATTTTGTCTGGGAATGAAAGAAAAAAATGGGAGATGGAATCACATTAGACTTGGCAAATCGATATGAATGAAATTATGTGTTTTTTGTTGTTCCTATTTTTGATTGATTGGAGAAATGATTTTGAAATATGTCAACAAAAATCGTTGCTTATTCCTCCTTAATCAAATATCATTTCTAATAAGGATAGATTCATTGGGTATCTTTAACAACAATTTTTAAGGATACCGGGATAAGCTATTGTGGATAATATTTTCGATTCTTGTATCTATTTTCAGACATCATTAATCTGATCAAAAATATTTGTAGGAATTTGTTCAGAAAATATTTTTTTGTAATAATCGTTGAAATAATATGTCAAATTTGGTGAAAATCGATTCAAGTATAGATAGAGCTCTGATTTTTATTTTTGTTCCTCACAGCCGTAATATGAACTCCACAACAGCGATATTCGCAAAAAATTATATCAAATATAGCTAAGAAACATCTTTGCCGAATTTTCTCCGAGATCGGATCAGATTTAGCTTCCATTTATCTTTTAAGTTTATGGTGCGCCAAATGGTTAATGTCAGCCCAAATTAAATAGATTTTTGGACAAATGCCCGAATGCAGTCTAAAAGAATGTGTGTCAAATTTAGTGAATATCGGTTCAGACATAACTATATTATTATCTGATTTTGTATATAAGTCCCGCACACCCGTAAAATCCATATGAAAATGATGATATTTGGTACCAGCTATCAGAGACAGCTTACAAATACCTCTGCTAAATTTCACAGAGATCAGTTCATAGTGGTATAGATTTTGGGAAAATCTGTTCAGATATAGCTCCGATATATATGTTTCAATCTAGGGATACTCGAAGTCGAATGCCTATGCTGATTATGAGATTTAACTTGAAATATTTTCTTAATTTGACAAAAACTTTAAAAATGAAATTCGCTGTAATGTTTGGGATCAGTTTGGAAACTCTTAAAAGTAAAGGTCAAAAATGTAAATCAATAATTTATAATTAAAATATAGAAATTTCTAACGTCGTTTTCGCAATGATATTTTGTGTACAATATTTTCTACTTTGACTCCATTCTAATTGTGAAAAGAAATCGCCGCTTTATTTTATACAACTCTTAAAATACCTTTCTAAATTTAATGGAGATACTACCTGGAACAATGATAGTACCAATCAATCCAATCACTTATAAAAATATAATTTTCTACCCACTAACAATTCATTTATCTCAAATATCATTATGTCTGCTTTGAATTATTACAGATACACCCACAAAAATATAAATACAAATATAATAATGTCTTCAAAACACATACATACCCATACATCTATTTCGATTTTCCCATGTTGCTGCAACAAACTCCCTCAAAACAGTGACTGTCACAAGTGAAAACCCAACATGACGCCTACACATCAAAGTGTATGGTATTAAATAAATTAACCCCATGCATAAGTGTGGGTGGTTATGTCCGAAACAGCTAATGTTACAACAACACTGGCTAACAAAAACCAACGAAAAGAAAAATAAATGTCATGTTGTTGACAGGATATGCCAGGCAAAGCCACCTTCAGACATTAAAACACCGGACAACTAAAGCACCATTGATCCCTTTTTGTTCATCATCATCGTCATCATCAGCTAAATGAGACATTGAGCTTTTATGGGTGGAGGGCCGAATCCATTTATTTCTAGTTTTCATTTTATGCCACTAGTGACCAAACGCTGCCGTTGTTGTTATTTCTATGGTTGAATGGTTCCAAAGGCCAAACACAACCGAACACCATCGTAGGCAGTCGACAGCCAGTCAGTCCATCATAAATATTAAAGGTTTCCTTTGCCACACAGACTATTAGAATGTCGTTTCCGTATTGGCGTGGAACAACACGCATAGGATAAAATTTGGTGTTACTCTACAACCAAGTAAGTATTCGATTACATTTAATTAAATAAAATTGCCCTAACGAAAGGTCCTCTGTAGACAATAGTGTAGCCTTTTTGTGTGGCCAAAGAAGGGCGTATGGTAAACGTATTATAAGCATTTCATGTTTAGTGGTGTTAAGTGAAATATTGTCCAGACAAAGTATTTTGTCCAAAAATCTAATTATGAACGCTTTTGACAGATGCGATTACATTGATGAGTTTTTTTTGGAATTCATGGCTTCTTTTGTGGTCAATATGAATTTCAGGTGACAACAAAAGTTAATGTTTGTAATTATATTTGAGCTAGTTTCGTCAAGGAAAAAGTATACACTATGAGTTTGTTTCTAGGCTAGGCGAAAACAGACAATATAGACCTATAGCTGCTCCTAATGATCTACATAGAATCACTTGTTAAGTCGATCGCAGAATATCCGTCCATAAATTTTAATGAACAAAGAACAGGTCGCATTAATTGTCCAATTAAGATGAAACTTTACACACTTTATTTATTTGTTCGTCTAGAAGGAACCGTATTGATATTGGTGGCAACCGTTTCAGAATTAGTTACATCTCACACGTTTATTTTGCACCAAATTTGTAATATAATCTCAAGCAAGCTGACTGTGGATTACAATATGCGCTTCATAACGATAATATTCGTAAATGATAGCAGATACAACCCATAAATAAAACCCAGAATAAATCATTTACACTCCTAGTAGACTTCCAATCTATGCCATGTTTAGTACTTTGCACGAAAACACCGCCATATTTTAATCTTATACATCCACTGTGATCCATACTCCAAAAATCATAATTCCACCTTAATTCCTAAACCGCAACACCAAATTTAGTACATTTCGTCACATTCAGTAAGTATTTCCAAGAAAACCGTATTGCCTACTTCTACACACCCACAGTCACACGTACACCACAACTCATAATTGTACACTTATATGTCGAATTTCCGAATACGCAGTTTTTCCTTACCCTACACACCACAATAACCGCCATGCACAATTTCAAGATTCTAGTTTTAGCATCCCTCTATTCTTTTATATTCCAAAACCTCTACTCTTTATATTCCAAAGAGTTTTCACAGATCCGAAAATGTAACTCCACATGGAACAACTCTCATTTTCACTCAATATTGAAAGGACTTCTTAGTCCGGGTATTCACACATGACTTGGTCAGCACCTCTTCTATGTAGACTAATTGGCTTTCAACTCATATATTGAGACTCCAGGGCCTACCGTCTACTCGTCCATTGAGACTCTCGGACCTTGAGCTCGTCTGATGAGATTTAATGGCCTTCAGTTAGTTTAATAAGATTCCCAGGCCTTTAGCTAGTCTATTAAGATTTCCTGGCATTCAGCTAGTCTATTAAGATCGTCGACAACAACTTCCTGACCCTCAACTCGTCAACAACGACTGCCTGACCCTCCGCTCGTCGGTTACGACTCGCTGGCCTTCAGCTTGTTTATTGCGACATCCAAGCCTTCAGCTTGTCTATCTTTCTGACCTTTAGCTCGTCTACTGAGACTCAATGGCATTCAGCTAGTATATTGACCTTCTGGCCTGCAGATCTCCGATAGAGACTACCTGGGCTTCAGCTCGTCGATAGGGAATCCCTGACCTTAAACTCGCTTATTGAGAATCTCTAGTCTTCAGCATGTCTATTAAGACTCCCTGATCTTCAGCTCGTCTGCTGAGCCTCCCTGGCGTTCAACTAGTCTATTGACATTTTGGCCTACAAATCAACTCCATCGTTTTCAGTAACACATTTCTGTGAGACGGTCAGTTCTGATTGAGTCCTAGACCATTTATTCTCAGAAAATATCATTTAAATGATTCTATTTAAATAAATTATACAACAATTTTATATCGACATTTAACCTCTTATAAGCCTCTATAGACCGAAAAACTAGAGATATCAGATCATTTAAAGGTCTTCCATAGATAAAAAAAAATATTTAAATCCCCTATATGGGAAAATATGATGGTTTAAATTTAAAAACCTTTGTATTTTAATTCTAAAGTATTTTTTTTTTTTTCAAGTATATATTTTCCACTTACCGATTGGAAAATCTGCGATATATTGCTGCCAATATAATGCATGAAATGGCAAAAAGTAAAGCACAGAATAATGTAAGGCCAGCTAGGAAAGGCGACAAAGGTACGGTTAAGCCATTGGAAGCACCTGTAAAGAGAGAAACGAAAAAATAAAAACAAAACAATGTTAGAAATTTCAAAACGAGATAACAAAGATATTCATGCACTGATATGTATGTAGGTATGTATATATATTTTTCAAAGCCTTAACCTTTGCGGATGTATGTTGCATCTAAACATATTCATAGTTTGTCGGTCATGAATGCATATAGAAAAGCAATAACTGCAGTTTGTGTAAAGTTTTTTGAGGTTATGCCATAACTAACCGACCTTTTAAACTTTTATGGGACACAAAAGAACAATGGAACTGTTGGTTTTAGACAACATCATGTTTATTAGATTATCGGATGGGGACAGAGTCACAGGGTCAACTTTATCAAATAAGGGGAAATATATTAATTTACATTTCTTGATCTAGGATTTATGAGTGAATAAATTTATTTTAAAGTTTGAATGATGTTACTTTAATTTTAAAATATGGAAATTTGCATTTCGTTCCTATCCTTGGGACGATGGTTGTTACATAAAAGAACATTTGAATTCGTGATTTGGAAGATATAAGCAAAATGACATTTAATTATCTAATATAAACCATTTTTGCCATTGAATAAAAATGTCTATGTCTCACACCCAAATGATGACACCATTGGCGTCGTTAAATACGCTCCTGCTGACTGTTTCTTCTACCATAACTATTACCTTTACTTTACCGAATTATACTATTAAAGTCTCGGTAAGAAAGAATCGCACAAAAATATTGGCAAAAACCCATTGGCCAACAATAAAAAGTCACAAACAACCCACTTTAAGGATGGATAAAAAATGCAGTTAGAAAAGACAAAACATATGAGATAAACCAGTAAAGAAAGTCTTAAAGTCGGGCGGGGCCAACTTTATGATACCCTACACCACTTTGCTAATTAAGTAGAGCTCCACACAACAATTAAAAGTTTTTATGGGAGAATTCAATCATACACGCTATGATTATAATTATAATTTAAAGTTCAAAGGACTAAATATGCCGAAGCATTTGTATCTTTTAAATTCGGAATTGCATTGCCCATTTGGTGCACAATTAATTTGAAATCGGATAAAGATATATATGGGAGCTACATCCAAATCTGAACCGATCTCGATAAAATTTGGCAAAGATTCTGAGCTGTATTTGATATATTTCCCTGAATATCGTTGTTACGGAGTGCATATTACTGCTGTGGGTAACAAATATAACAAATCGGATGATATATGGAAGCTATATCTGAACCGATCTTCACCAAATTTGACATACTAGCTTCTGGACTCAATTCGGTCGTAAGTGCCAAATTCCATCCCATTTGGACAAATATTAGACATTTGGTGCACAATAAAAGGTAAATCGGTTATATATGGGAGCTATATCCAAATCTGAACCGATCTCGATAAAATTTAGCAAATGTATTTCTGAGTTGTATTTGATATATTTCCCTAAATATTGTTGTTGCATAGTGCATTATACGGCGGCGGTGGACAAAAATAACAAATCGGATGAACAATATATATGGGAGCTATAGCTATATCTGAACCGATTTCGATCAAATTTGGCATACATATTTTCAGGCCTAATTTGGGTGTATGTACAAAATTCTATACAATTCGGGCTGATATTACACGTTTGGTGCACAATAAAAGTCAAATCGGACGAAGATATATATGGGAGCTATATCTAAATTTTGACCGATTATCTCCAATTTGGGCCAAACAAAAGATCTTTGCAAAATTTCATCTGGATCGGGCAATAAATGCGACCTGTACTTTGTTTACAAACATACATGGACAGACGGACAGACTGACGGACGGACATGCATAAATCGACTCAGAATGTGATTCTATGCAGATCATCAAAAGGAACTATGGGTCTATCTCGTTTCCTTCTGCCTGTTACAAACAAATGCACAAAGACATAATACCCTGACCACCTTGTGGTGTAGGGTATAAAAAGGGAGAAAACGGTACAAATGCAGGAAACTACTTGAAGAACATTCCAACCAACAAAGACAATAAACAAAAGTCAATTGCATTTGAGACAGAAAACAAAAGAAAGCGTATGTGTTGCTCCAATTCTTCTTCTCTTTTTTTCTGTTCCAGGTGGATACACATGGATGAAATTCCTGAAAATGATGGCACAGGAATTCTCCTTATAGCCATACGTTTCACTACTTTGCAGTCAAAGGTGATGGCGATGGAGGTGGTCGGTCGTTCGTTCGGCGAAGATCATGCCTGTTACATATGCCGCATGTTTTCATTCCATGTGAACTGCTGCTAACCAGCAGCAACAATTCTAATGGAAAATAAATAGCGAAGGAGCAGAAAAAACAGAAAAAAAAATGTCTAGGGAAAACTTTCGTAGATGGAGGAAAATAGACGCATTCTGATGGCATGGATGCTAAAGTTTGTAGTTATTTAGAAGTAGCGCAAGTTTTACCCAGCAAAAAGAAAACAAATCAACAGAATCCATTGTAGTGTAAATGAAAACGGCTAAATAAGTAAAGAAAACTTGGACTCGAAATCAAATAACAGCAATGAATAATGCAGGTGTTATCAATCGTTCTTTGGTGTTATTCAACATTAGCAAAAGTTTTTTCTTTAGCAATTACACCAGGGTGTTTAAAGGCGATGGAAATGTTGAGTACATTTTAACATTTGGGAAAAAAGATGCAGAAGATTTTTTTTTATAAACAAATTAGAAAGTTCCAATTGCTGTTTCGACAGATATATACCCTCAGCAATTATATGTTCCATTTTCGAGGGACGTATTAAAAGATTGGATATATATAACACTTTTTTCGCTAGATCTAATATTGCAAAGAATTCAATTCATATTGAAGAAAATTCATAAAAAAAATACTAGTAAAAAAGCTATAAGTTCGGCTGGGCCGAACTTTTAATGCCCTCCACCATTTGGTACAAATTGGTACAAATTTGGCAATTTCCAAAAAAAAAAAAAATAAATAAATAAATAAATAAAATAAAATCCATTAAAAATTCTGTTAAAATCTTAAAAATACAAAATACCTATACGACGACGTGGACCTGTATAGGCAACTTTTGTCATAAGTTATTACAATATTTAAATGCGAAACTTGAAGAAAAATCTGTTTATAATGTAGCTAAAATCATCAAAAACACCGAATATAGGGGGTAACTTTATATGGGGGCTATACGAAGACGTGGACCTGCACAGACAATTTTCTGGCATTCCATTTTTTCACATGCGAAATTTGAAACAATACCGGTAAATAATGTCGCTAAAATCATCAAAATATCGAATATCGGGGGGTACGGTATATGGGGGCTATACAAAGACGTGGACCTACATGGCACATTTTCTGTTTTATGCTGCAGTATCTATTACGAACTTCAAATACCAAATTTGGAACGATTCCGTTAAATATCGGGGGTACCGTTATATGGGGGCTATACGAAGACGTGGACCTGCACAAATAATTTTCTGTCTTAGGCTGTAGTATCCATTTCGAACTTCAAATGCCAAATTCGAAACAATTCCGGTGAATAATGTCGCTAAAATCATCAAAATACCGAATATCGGGAGGTACCGTTATATGGGGGCTTATATGATAACTTGGACCTACATGGCCCATTTGCGAACATAACCTGTCTACTGGCAAAATATATATGTGTGCAAAATTTTAGCCTTCTATCTCAATTTGTTCGAAAGATAGCGTGATTACTACAGACGGACATGGCTAAATCGTCTTAGAATTTTACGCTGATCAAGAATATATATACTTTGTTGGGTCTGACATGAGTATTTCGAGGAGTTACAAATGGAATGACAAAATTAATATACCCTCCATAGTATGGTGGAGGGTATAAAAAAGTTACAGAAACAATTTTTATTGGAAAAACCCTCGAAGTGAAGTGATATCTTTATATGAGAGTTGCACCAAAATGTAGATCAACATTGTCAGTTTTTGTTTTTACCAGAATATCAAAGTAACCAAAATGCCAAAAATTTATTACTTTTTTAGATAATGGATGGTTATAAATTTGGATAAATGATTCTTGTAGAAAACCAAAGCTTTATATTAATTTTGCGGAATATATGTCAGAGGAAATAATGCCTTATAAGGGCTTTAGAAAAGCATGGCCGAAAACCCCGGTACTATGAAATCCACTTGGAATATTCTACACCCCAGACTGGCTGATGGACAGTGTAATAATAATTCGGTTCAAGTCACACATTTGTCGAAAATAATAAATTAGGAAAAATTTCCAATTTTTTTTAGCGATATTGACATATTAGTAGAGATTTCGCTTATTTGGTAACTTTTAGTGAAATTTGATGGAAAAATATCCTTATCTTTGACGTATTTTTTTTAAATAATGCTTTGAAAGAGAATTTTAATACAGGGTGAGATAAAAAAACTGCAACAAAGTCAAACGCCATAATTTTTACATTTTTTTTTTTAACTTTTATTGAATGAAAGCAAATAATGTCGGAAATAACATCAAATTTTAGAAAACGTTTAGATTTGTTCGAATTGTTCACCTTTGGCACGAATTATGGTTTTCAAACGGCCACTTAAACCGTCACACGCTGCCCGAATGTTGCTCTGCGGTATTTTGGCCCATTCCCGGGGAAGCACTTGCTTTGGACATTTTGGTTTTTTTTTTTGTGCCAAAATTGCTTTCCAAAATGCTTCAGACAGAATAGTCCAACGGATTGGTATCCGGAGATTTTGGTGGCCATTGTGCGCTGGAAACGAAGCGAGGAACCTCAGTTTGTAACCATTCTTGGGTGGCGCGTGCTGAGTGCGATGGTGCTGAGTCCTGTTGGAATGTCCAAGGTCTGCGGCCAAAATGTTGGCGTGCCCAAGGCTTTAATACACCAACCAGAATATTTTCGTAATAATATTCGGCATATACCATCGGCTGTTTTGGCGGTCCACGCCATCACAATGGCCGACGCTTGAGTTCAGCTGACCTCTTTGGCAAGTAAACACGTTCATTTTGTTTGTTTACAAACTG